ATAATAAAGACCTTAATCACGTCGTGTTGGCAATTTCTTTACTGTCTCCCTTGAATACACTTCCCACCTCACCCCCAACTCAAGGCCCTTTCTCCAAAAAAAAAAAAAAAAAAAAAAAAAAAAAGCCGAGTGTGGTGGCACACGCCTTTAATTTCAGCATTCTGGAGGCAGAGGCAGGCGGATCTAGGAGTCTGTGGCCAGCCTGTTCTAGAGGGAGTGTAGGTTGATAAGCTATACCCCAAACAAAGCAAAAGGAAGCAGAAAGTATGCCAAATGCCATTGATTTCTGTGTAAACTAATGCCATGGCTGCTCCGTGATACGGTTAAGGTTTCTACTGTAGATAGAACAGCCAGAGACATCTGAAAGAGTCTAGAGCAGAGAGAGAAAGGAGACAGTCAGCAGACGGGGCATGACAAGGTTACCTGAGAGGGGAGATCATCAGGGGACAGGGATAGAGAAATGTGGTGGGAGAAGCAGGAGCGGAGAGACACAGCAGCAGGAATAGCAGGGTTATAAGGAGAAGGAGTAGCTGGGGCAGGGAAGCCCATGAGATGGAGGGGATCTAGGGAAGGGGAGGAAGGGAGAAGGGCTAGGATGCCAGCTTGGACTTTGAAATGTGTAACAGGTACTTGTGATGCTGAGGGAGCCTGGAGGCTGTGTGGGTTTTGATATGATGATAGGCCCCACAGGGAACCATATGCCCCTTCTGCTAGAGATAAGGGGAATGACTTCTTCTGGCCGAGGAACCAGTTTCACAAGTTCCTTAGGAAAGCTGGCTTTTATCTAACTTCCAGAAATCCTCCTATAGTCCATGTTAAGCTTGTTTCTGGATATTTGGACCAACTTTTGGAGTTTGGGGAACTGGAGTTTCCTTCGGGCATGACACGTTCATTTTGTGATGACCAACTATTCCTGGGCATGGAGTCTACCCTGCAGTGTGTTTAATATTCCCAGTGAGTCTCACTGGAGGAAACTAATTTTCCTCCGCCAGAGGGTATCAGTCGCAGATAGCTTCTTGGTTAAGGGTAGGAGCTTGTGTTCGTTTTTTACCGTTCAGTTCTGGCACCCTGTCTGGCTTGAACCTGTGCAGGTCTCGTGCATGCTGCCACAGTCTCTGTGAGTTCCTATGTGTCTCAGTCGTGTTGTGTCTGGAAGACAGTTTCCTTGGCGTCACCCATCACCTTTCCACCTCCTCATCAGAAGAGATCCCTGAACACTGAGTCTTTAAAGATTCACTCTGCACACTGTCCAATTGTGGGTTACTGTGTTAGTTCCCATCTACTACAAGAAGAAGCTTTTCAGATGGTGGTTGAGCAAGACACTGATATATGGGTATAACAGAACATCACTAGGGGTTATTTTATTGCAATGTTCCGTTAGCAGAACAATAGGATTTGGTTTACCCCTAGACCCATGGCCTATCCAGTTTCAAGTTCTTTT